GATGAAGATGAAACAAAGAATTAATTAGACCCTACAGTGAATGGCTTCATTCTTGCACAGATTCCTGCAAAGGCTGAGCTCAGGTACTTGCTTACACACCAATGGGGAGACCCGGCCCATGGCAATCAGACAACTGCCAACTGCAAACCCATCATTGTGAACTGGAAACAACTGTAGGTTTCTGAAAATGTTTATTTCATATTTTGTCGGTTACTTTTAGCCCTCAGTACAAAACAACACAGGCTTTTCCAGCCTACCTGAAAACTGTTAAAATTAGAAGAAAAAAAGAGGAGTGGGATAGGGGAGGGGGCATCCCACTTCCATTAGAGTCTCATCTAAGGATTGCTTTCTCAGCAGCCAGATGAAGACTCAGACTCTAAAAACAGTGAACATCTCAAAGCTACCGGAATCCTGATATACCACAACCAATTGTTCTCTCACACCAGCTGGCTCACTGTTACTACTGGAGATCAAAACTACACCCTGTACCACACTCTCCAGCAGAACCTAAGGCTGGGAGAGAACGCAGCACACTTCAGCTTGCAGATGCTTTTTCTGTCACCCCCTTAAGGCTTTTCAGAGCTGATCCAATCTGGGAACAAAACTGCACTGGCCACGTCCTGAACACAGTGGCCCCTCTATTCCCACACTGCCTGCCATGGAATTAAATGTGCACCAGCTTTCTGCTTAATTACTACACAAACCCAAACGGCACATTCTCCAGTGACTTATGATGGAAGAGCAAGCAGCTTCATGGTGCTGAAATGTGGCTTACAATCTTTTTTAACTCAACATTATACATTTTGCTTTTGTCATGCTGAAGACTGAGCCCAGGGTCTCGTGGGTATTGGAAAGCATTCCACTCCTAAACTACAGGCCCTAGCCCTAAAATCTAGTGTTAGATCATTTAACATTTATGTAAAGATGGCAGAGGGATACACCTGTCATCTCAGCTACCTAGAAGAGGATCAATTGAATTCAAAAGTTCAAGACTAGCTGGGTCGACACAGTGAGATCTCTCTCTCCACGTTTGTCAAAGCCGAGTGTGCTGTGAAAGAATCCTTTTGTACCCAGTAAAGATTTGTCACCTGAATTGGTTTTAATAAAATGCTGATTGGCTGGTAGTCAGGCAAGAAGTATAAGTGGGGTGATCAAACTGAGGATGCTGGGAAGAAAGGCAAAGACAGAGGAGATGCCAGCTAGGTGTATAGAAAATGAGGTAACAAGCCATGAACCACATGGCAAAGCACAGAGAAGAAATATGGGTTAATTCAAATGCAGCTAGTAACAAGCCTGAGCTATCGGCCAAGCATTTATAATTTATATTACGTCTCTGAGCCAGTTATTTGGGAAGCAGCTGCAGTTAATTGGGAGTAGGTGGTCAGGACAAGAAAACCACACCTATACAAGTGCAATGTCATGTGTTTATGTCCCCAGAACTAAGTAGGCTGAGGTGGGAAGGTCACCAGAATTCACGAGTTGGAGACTAGACTGGAAGTGAGGCTACATTTCAAAATGAATAAATTTAATGTCAAATTTAGTGAAACACTAGAAGGCATTCTCTTCCTTACAGTCTTTTTATATTTGTCATACAGACTTCCTGTGCTCTCCAGAAAAGCAAGATCAGGCTAAAGCTCCAGAACCTTTTATTAACTCCTGTAAGGATGACCTGGGTGAGAGAACCTTCACATTCTGAAGGAGTCACTCTGAGGGTTTTTAAGGCATGAAGAATCTAATTGTTTTCATATTGCAGAATGTAGCTCAGATTATGTGTGTGATGGGATTTGAACCAGAGTCTAAAAGTGCCAAGGACATGCTCTACCACTGAGCTATCTTACCCACATTTTAATGTAAGAAGAATATACAATCAAAACACAAGTCTGCACTGAGCATATGTGGAAAGTTATTTAATTGTAAAATAGAAAAAGAGGCCAGAGTACAGTCTTGAAGGTAATTGGTTCTTTATACAGATAATCTAGAGTAGTTTTGGGGTTAAACATTTTCATAAAGCAATAAAACAAAAAAACAAAGAGCCTGAAGTTACATTTTACAAAACAGAATGGAAGTCTGTCAAATGTCCACACACTGTAGAATGGACAACATTGTGATGAGACCAAGCTGCAACATAGACCTGGAGCTTCCCCAGGGAATAGCGAAAGTTACATTAGACGTATCTATAGCATCACTGAGTACAAAAAGTTCCTGTTCTACATACAAAAGCAATTTTCCATAAGAATAATTTCTTGGGCGGGGGGTGGGGGGTGGGGAGAGGAGTGGTTAAGTCCATGAAATATTTCAGAAACCCAAATGCACTGAGTTTGCCAAAAACATTATCTTAAAATCCAGCGCCTCAAAGTGCTCATGTGGAAATCATGATGGAAGGCACAGAATACAGTCTCACGTCCCCACAATGGAATTTTCAAAAAAGCATAGATTTTGCAGATTCAAGTTCTCTTGCAAGCTGCTCCTTCCAAGAACATTGTCATGGTTGCCAGTAAAACCAGTTGCTAGCTTACTTACTTTCAGTGACCGACAGAACAACAGTAGTGCCTTTTTTATTTCTTGGTAACTTTCATCGTCTTTGTGGGAAACATATCTAAGCAAGTGATGCATTTTTAAAATCATAAAACATGCAGAATATGTACAAACAAAATTTTAAAAATATTTGCTTCATATACATGTAAATCTACTTGCATGTAGCTGAAATTGAACAAATATAAAATTTCTGCTTCCTAAAAAATGTTTTCAGAGAACCTGAGACAACTTAAAAGCTGTACAAAAGTTCCTGGGAGAAATCTCTTCAAAGAGTTATTTCCAGCATCAGTCCACCATAATTATTACACATTTGGTCTAACCAACAACCACCCTTAAAACTTCTGTTTCTGAGAATTGAAGTCTGTACCCAAATCAAGAAGAATTGCCTGTAACAGTGCCTTACTGTGGTTTTTGGATCTCCTCAACAATCGTTATCAACTCATTTGTAACTGTAAAAAAAGAAACAACCAAAAACTATTTACAGAATTCAGTTTTAAATACATCTCACAAGTTCTAAAGTTTTATATTACAAGAATTCAGAGCTCATGGCTTAAGTCCCATTATCAATGCGTAGTATTTTCTCTTATCCGGTATTCCCATAGCTGTGTCCTTACTGTGTACAGTTCAAGACTGCATTCTTTCTGGACAAAAGGTAAAATCAAACTGGTGTTCACGGTGGCTAGACAGCTTCCTTGTTGGTCTGGAGGCGCGTCATGGCCTCCAGCTTCTGCCTGTAGGCCTCCGCCTCCTGCTCCTTCTTGAGCAGCTGCTGGCGGTACTTCTGCGCCTCCCGGTTCGCCTCGTCTAGCTGTTTCTGAAGAGCTTCTCTCTCCTAAGTTAGAAAAGAAAGCTGTGTTTTCAAGTTTTGCACAAATATATTAACATAATCATGTGTCCTTCCAAAACAAAAGAAAAACAGACAGACAGACAGACAGACAAGACAGACAGACAAAACACTATGCAGTGGCCACAGCAGCTACCTATTGGTACCTTCAAGATGTTTTATACCTTTTCAACCAATTCACAAGTAAACACCCAGTTTTGTTCTGTGTATTATAAGATGGTGATAATTCTCTAATTTCAAGAAAACTATTTCTAACTTATAATTAAGAATAGAATAAACATAAAACGTGCACCCGTACTTCTCTGTGTACTGAAGAAATCGAAGACTTAAAACTATACAAACACATCCCTTATCTCTACTCGGATAACCATCACACAGATGAGCACCTACAACATGGCTGAGCAAAGGCAATTCCACAACTCACTTCTCATGAGTCAGGCTATGAAGGTGAAAAGTAGTGCTCAGAAATGATGTAGCCTTCTCAAGAATACCATGAGAACTGGGTTTATGGGACTCAAAAGTCAGTAATTCCAAAACAACCCATGCTCCCCTTCACTACCAAGGAAAATACCTGAACTCCATCACAACGGGTGCTGGTCTAGACCTGCAAAGTCATACAGTGGGCAATCCATAAAAGGCTACTCTAACAACCTTCCACTGTTAAACAGGTATAAAAATTTTAAATCCTCAGTCACTGAGAGCCAGTATATACAAACCCAGTTCACTGAAAAGAGTCTACTTTCCTCTCTTCATCACACCTCTGCTATCAAGGAAAAGAGACCAACACTTTAAAGAACCCTTTTGTATACCTGTAGTAAGCACATGGAGAAAACCTAATCCACAAAGGCCCAGGCTCAGGGATGTTTCCTGTCTTAGGAATGAAGTAACTTTATCACAAAGACCTATGATCTGCTAGTGATGTAGGAGCCAGAACATAACTATGAATTACAGAAAAGGCCAGGTTCACACTGAGCAGCACACATGCCCAGAGGGACCAGAAGGTGAGGGAGATCCTTGAGGACCGTCTGAGGGTCTCTCCCTCTATCTATATCCTGTGCTTCCTGACAGGCTCATTTTAAGCTCCCAAAGACTGCCTCTGCTTTACTGCTCAGTTGCTCCTACCGGGAAGAACATGCAGCTCTCCCTCCCTTCTCCACACGCCCCCACCCTCACCCTATGAGCCCACCCACTGTCCTATCCTGAGAATGAAGTTAGATTTAATATTTTTCTGATTCCTATGGGTCCACCAGATATGAGAGTGCCTGAGAAGCCCAACAAAGGAATGTCACCCAGGCCCAACCCTAATACCTTCCATAGCTGCTTCCTTCTCTTACACCCTTCCCTAATGCTAGAAAAGATGGAAGTTGGTAGCACCCGGGAATCAAGCCTCAGGTAAGCAAGGAACGCTAGCACTGGCTGTGGTCTATGCAGGACTCTGAGCTTGCCAATGATCAGGGTAAGGTGAAGAGTAGGGGCTTGCTTGTGCTTCCCCAGGAGCAAGACCTACTTCTGGGAGGGGCGGCCTTAGCTCGCTTTGACAGCACATACACTAAAATTGGAACACTAGAGAGATTAGCATGACCCTTTTGCCCAAGGACAACATACAAACTCAAGAAGCATCCCATAATTTCCCTACAGCTCCAGGGGGATCTGATGCCTCTGACCTCACCAGGAATCAGCTCTATAGATACACACATACACATAACTAAAAAAATAATAAAAATAAATCTTTTTAAGTTTACATGTGTTAAGAAATAAGATCTTTTGGTAGTCCGTGTTTTGAATACACATGCATAGGAAATATTAGAACAAAATGACCCTAAGGGATCATCTAGTATTAGCTATTTATTAACAGCTGGCATTTGCAAGGGATTTACTATTACTGCAGAAGATGAAAGCAAATGGAGTGAGCCAAACAATGTAAAAGCGAAATGGCTTAATCCTATCTTCCTGCACGCACGCACGCACGCACGCACGCACGCACGCACGCACGCACGCACACAGAGGTGGGGAATCAAACCCAGGATCTCATACATTCTAGGCAAGTATTCAACCAGTGAGCAGTAAATGAAATACATTTTAATACAAATAAAGTAATAGCTCCCTTTCACCTACTAGGCCAAATAAAAGACTCATTTCAGCTGCATTTTTTTTTGTCTAAATCTGTAGATTGTAAAGACAAAGACCCTTAGTACTTGTTGAATATATGATTAATACATAGACTTTTAGTGTTGTGCCTTTGACTTCTCCAAAATACAGGAATATGGAATAAGAACTTGTTTGCCATCTCAAGTTTTCAAAGTAATAAAAGTCTGAGAAATGGAAAATGTTATTTATTTTACCAGAGACCTTTATTTCTGATGTCACAGTTACTAAACATATTTCATGAAATACAGTTTCTTTACATAGCAGTGTTTCACACATTAATAATGCAACAGGCTGACAGCTGACATTTTTATTTAAATATAATGTTAATCCTATGGATTAACCACACTGATTTTGATACTTTTAATATTGTGGGTTTGAGTGTGCTCATGTGCTATTGCACATACATGGTCAGAGGGGTCAGTTTCTGGGGTCAGTTTTTTTCCTTCTATCCTTACAAGGACTTGGGATCAAACCCAATTATGCCAGGCTTACATAGTGAGTACCTCTGCCTGCTGAGCCATCCTGTTGGTCCAGTTTTGATATATTATCGTTACTGTATGTAAATGGTACAGGTGTTCTGCCTTCATGCGTGCCTGTGCACCGTAAGTATGCAGTGCCTAAGGAGGCCAGAAGAGGGCATCACATCTCCTGGAACTGGAGTTACAGACTATTGTGAGCGGCCATGTTGGTGCTGGGAATTGAACTTGGATCCTCTGAAAAAGGAGCCTGGCTCTTAACTGCTGAGCCATCTCTTCAGCCTCCAATTTTGATATTTTCATGTAGCAATAACTTAGGTTAATATGTGATACTATGGTACTGTTCTAGGGCTGGGTTGTAGCTGCTCATCATGCAGGAAGCTCGGATTCAACTCCCAGCATTGGACCTCTAAGAAGTCTACCATCACAGACCTCTAAGAAAACTAAACCCTAGTAATAATCAAGATTGACGGCAACAAGATACAGCATAACCCTGAAGTTTTATATCAGGGAACAGTACCATGGGGCAACAGGTGATTTCAGCTCTCTTTGTTTTCAATGATGATTCTCTTTATCTTCTCCCTCAACACACACTTTAGGGAACTCCTGCTAATATCACTTACTGAGCATTTACTCTGTGCTCACCATTGTATTCATCCTGCATTTGTCTCATTTCATCTTTTTCTCCTCTTTGAGACAGTCTCACTATGTAGCTCTGGCTGGCCTGGACTTTACTATGTAGACCAGGCTAGCCTCAAACTCACAAGAGGGAATTAAAGGCATGCACCACCACACAAGGCTTTTCTTTCACTTTGTTTTTAAAGCAATCAATTGCTGATGCTATTCATTTTCCGTCTTGTTGAGGGACAGGCTATGGCCTTGAAACGGCAAACAAGAGGGCCAAGGTCACACACTCAAAATCTCAGAAAATTCAAACGTACAGTTGAGTCCAGACCCATGTCCCTAAAAATGAGGTCTATTTTCAAATTGTCATGTATTATTATTACTATCTATTACTGTGTGTACAACGTGTGTATGGGTATGTGTGCCATGAGAGAAAGGCAGAGGACTACTCTGTAGAGCTGAGTCTCTCCTGTCACCTGTGTATGGGTTTCAAGGACCCACTTGCTGAGCCACCTTGCCAGCCCAACACACACCACACCACACACACACACACACACACACACACACACACACACCATACACTTTCTAATGTTTTATTTTTAATTACGCGGTACTTCTGTGTCTGTGTGGGATATGTGCATGTGAGTGCAGGTGCCTGCAGAGGCCAGAAGCCGTAGTTCCCCTGGAGCTGCTCGACACCAGCGAGCCACGAATGGAATCTGGTTCCCTGTAATCGCAGTGCAGTGCAGTGCAGTGCATGTTCTTAATCCCTGAGCCTCCTCTCCTTGGCTCAAGCCACAGCTCCTTTTCTTAAACACAGGGGAGAGTGTAAGTGCAGCCCCCACGACCACAATTACGCCAAGTTTCCCACATTTGGAGAAACCACAGGAGTCAGCACATCCACGCTGTTATGGACGAGTCTTGCCTTGGGAAAACCAGCTTCATGATTATGGTATCTCCCTTGGCAGGTATTAAAGATTTTTTTTTTTAATTATTATTTTTACTTTTGTGGATGTGTGTGTGTCTGAGTGGGTATATGCACTTGAGTAGAGACAGGTGCCCGTGAAGACTGGAGGAGAGTGTCAATCCCCTGGAACAGCTGTGAGCTGTCTGCAGGTGCTGGACAGTGACCCAGGTCCCCCGGAAGAGCAGCCAGTGCTCTCAGATGCTGCACTGCCCCTTTAGCCTACGGCCCCCCTCTTTTTTTTTAAGGAGAAAAGCTAGGCCAGATATCTATCCGAGCTATTTGTTTGCACCTAAAAATCAACTGTCCAAATGTGACAAATGACCCGATTTTTATCAGCGTAGTTCTTGACACACAGCCACACCCTCTCTCTGAATTGTGTGGCTGCTGTCTCCAACACAGAGACCTGGACATTGCAGGAATCATGTGGCTCATAAAGCCGTACCTCTCCCTGGCCTTCTCCATAAAAGCCCCTCTTGTCCCACAGCTCTGGAGAAAGACCTGAGATAGAGGACATGTGACTAACAGAGCTTTCAATCCTGGCAGAAGGAAGACAACCCAAGCATGGCTGGAAACTCAGTTGTGATTTCAGCACCCTGGAGGCTGAGGTAGGGAGAACTGTTCTAAGTTCAAAACTAGCCTGGGCTACAAGGCTACTCCCAGACCAGCCAGGCCTACACAGCAGAACCCTACCCAAAACAAAATGAAACCAAGAAAACAAATAAAATAAGTGAAATAAATAAAAATGATTTAAAAAAAATGGTATCAAGTAAGATACCACCTAAAATTTACAGATAATTTTTACAAGAACACTAACACAAAGGACCCTTAATTCACACCTGGCTGAAAGACACACACATTTCATTTAAAAAATAAACAATCCAGCCAGGCGGTGATGGCGCATGCCTTTAATCCCAGTACTTGGGAGGCAGAGCCAGGCAGATCTGAGTTTGAGGCCAGCCTGGTCTACAGGGTGAGATCCAGGAAAGGCACCTCAGTACTTGGGAGGCAGAGGCAGGCACATCTGTTTGAGGCCAGACTGGTCTGGTCTACCTAGTGAGATCTGGCCAGCCAGAGCAACATAGTAAGTAAGGTCCTGCCTCAAAAATCTCAACAAAATAAATAAATAAATAAATAGAGAGAGAGAAAGAGAAAGAAAAAAGAGAAGGAGGAGGAAAAGGAAGAAAAACAAGGCAGAGGAGTGGACGGGTAGCTCAGTGGTTGATCTAGCACTTGCTTAGCAGGCATCAGGCTTGATCCTGAGCACCCACCATCCCCCACAACACAAAAAAAATCTACTGAAAAACATGAGTCTCAAAACGAACAAGAAAACTGACTGACTAATAAACAGTCATCTCTAGAGGGCTGCAGAAATGGCTCAGCAGTTAAGAGCACTGACTGCTCTTCTAGAGGATCCAGGTTCAATTCCTAGCACCCACAAGGAAGCTAACTGCCTGTGACTCCAAGATCAGATACCCTCACACATACATGCAGGCAAAAGCACCAATGCAAATAAAATAAAAAAAAAGTCACCTCTAACCGGAATTCATATAACTACCTAAGAAGCAGAGAAATCTGGCTCCTAACGTGCGTGGTACACTGTCTCCCTCCAATGTACACAGATTTATTTCCACTGGACAATAAATGTTGCCTATTTAGGGGAATATCTGTAAAGACACACTTCCCTTCAAAGCATCTTCGGCGGAGAGGCAAGAAGCACAGGCAGAGTTGTATGCACTAGCGCAGCATGGCTGGTGTCTTTACTTGTATCTGCCCCTCCAACGTTAAAGCCATTTCATGTCCCTCACTGTCACAATGTACATGGAGAACCCACAACATCTACAATCAACTTCTAACAGTTTAATGAATTTTCCCAGAGATTACTGGGGAAATTTCCGCACTGCTGGAAAATTGTTATAGACAGTCACTCTGTCAGCTGTGAGTACAATACAGAGAAAGCCCTGTCAAATTGTTCATGAGTTAAACTTTTATATTTCTTTATAGTTTTTTTTTAAATCTAAGCACTATTAATATGCTTGAATGACATAAATTCTTAATGCTGTCCTAGGTATCACAGGACACCAACCTAACCTCTACCCACAGTTGCAACAACCAAAAATGTTTCTAAACATTGCCAAATATGCCTTAGGGTCAAAATCTCCCCACTTGAGAATCAAGTTTTACAAAAACTTTTGGAGTTAAAGTTTGGCCAAGATGTTATCTAAAGCAAACTGCATAAAAGCTTGCTCCTAAGATAATTCTACTGTCGTCAAAGAATATACATGTAAAAGAGTGACTTCACATGTTGCAGGAAACAGTTACTCGGCCTGACATGAACACTGGATGTTGCATCCTTATCCTGTGACTCCAGGTGCCTCCACCTCTTCTTATTCTATGTATGGAAGTCTCTGTAAAACCCTAAGAGGTCACATCGCCTTGGCTTAAGCATTTCCAGTGATAGAAAGAAAGATTTCCATTACCAGAAAGTTCTACTGAAAACAAAAGAAAACAAATATAAACTCCACTGTTCTTTATACCAAATTAAACACAACCTCCCTAAAGCTTCCTTCTTGGTTTCACTTAACTAGTTCACCTTAATTCTTACTCTCTTGTTTACCTGGAATTACTTCTCCTCATCTCTGGCAAACTAGAAAAGGGATCAGGCCGGACTTGGAAGAAAACAGACCCACAAGTTATTAATAAATAAAGGGATAGGCTAAAATCACTATTGTTTAAAAAATAAACTATTGGACTGGTGGTGGTGGCGCACACCTTTAATCCCAGCACTTGGGAGGCGGAGGCAGGTGGATCTCTGTGAGTCTGAGTTCAGCCTGGTCTACAAAGTGAGTTCCAGGACAGCCAGGGCTATGTAGAGAGACCCTGTCTCAAAAAACCAAATAAATAAATTGTTAAATAAACTTATGTTTAATGAAATTCAAAAAATTTAAAATATAATGGAAACAAAGCCATAATTTTTTTCTTACTTTCCATGCTCCTAAAATACCATCTAACTCTGTGCCTCTCTGCCTCTCTCTCCCCTTCTCTCTCTGCCTCTCTCTCCCCTTCTCTCTCTGCCTCTCTCTTGGTCTCTCTCTCTCTATGCGTCTCTCTGGTTCTCTCTCTCTCTCTCCCCTAATAAAGCTCTAAAAGGTTTAAAAAAACCCCATCTAACAATCAGAAAAGGACAATAAAGAGAACCTTAGGGGTGAGGAGATGCTCAACCAGTAATGTGCGCGCTGTGTAACCATGAGAACCTGAGTTTGGATCTCCAGGACCCATGTAAAAAGCTGGGCATGGTTCACACTTGTCATCCAAAGTGCTGAGGAGGCAGACAGGAGGACCCAAGAGGCTTGCTGCTCCCCTCAACCCAGCCCAGTCTAGCTGAACCGGTGAGCTCCAGGCTTAGAGAGCAACAAGGTGGAGGCTGCGGAGACGGCTCGAGTGCACTTGCTGCTACTGCACAAGCCCGGGTTCTGTTCCCAGCACCACATGGTGGCTCACAACCATGTTTAGCTCCAGTTTTAGGGTATCCAATGACCCTGGTCTCTGATGACACTAGGAACACACATGGCACACATATATACATACAAGCAAAACACTCATGCACATAAAATAACGTTAATGTTTTAAAAGAAAAAATAAAAACAAGGTAGAGAGAGATTGAGACACCCAACATCAACCTCTGGCCTCCACACAAATGCGCCAACACGTACACACACACATCCCACATACACACGAAAGGTATTAAGTGAGGACAGCAATAAGACACTGCTTAGTGAAGGGAGCTTTTAGTTTGTGAATCAGAACTGTCTTAGAGGTGTCAATTTAGAGAAATAAAACATCACACTCAGTAGTTAAAACTTAAGATTTTACTAGACATCCTGGTCAAACCATTAGCCACAAACATTTTTGTGTGGATTTTAAGACAGGATTTATTCATAACTAGACTCTGTTTAGTTCAATGCTTATGATTATGCCCACAATGTACCTGTCTGCTGTTTAAATACATACAAGAATATACTCGGTCTTTAATCAAACAAAACAAACCCCTTTTCTATAACCAGAGCCTCTGAAAAGAACAACTAAACAGTCATCAACTTTATACACATCAGATGCCTTAGTGAAGGTAGAGGGTGCTGACCTTACCCACTCTCATGAAAACCCTAAAATGAAGTAATGCTTATCTAAATTCCAATTTAGGAGAAAATAACAACACCCAGACTCAAAGCTGAGCGGTCAAGAGCTTGAGCAGTTTCCAGTTCAAAGCTGATTCTATTGCATTTGCTCTTCAAAGATATTTAAAGAATCATGTTTTGTATGAGACACTACACATTCTGTAGATGGAATTTTATTTATAGTCATGTAAGAAAAACTAAGAGATCGTGATTTGTTACACCAACAAATGAGTCTGGGAGAGGAAAAAGGTTAGATGTTATCAATAGTATAAATTAATTCAATTTCCTCAAAGGACATTCTAGTAAAATAAGCAGTTATCTTTTGCACTTACAAACAATCTGTTTAGCAAACATCAACTTTCTGTAAGAGGATTTCCAGGCCAATCAGGGAGAAGCACTTTTGAAAGAAAAGAATTCTCAGTATAAAGGAGTATCTTCCTTCAGTGACTTGTGAGAATGGCATGTTACACACACACACACACACACACACACACACACACACACACAAAAGCATGGAGTCCAAGAACCAAAGACAGTCCAAATGTTACCAGCATAACAAACATTGTTACAAACAAATTCTTCGATCGATCATTCATTCATTCATTCATTCATTCTTTATTTATTTATTGATGGCTTGCCATATGAGGCCAAAAAGTTAAAACAAAATGATGACACTATTCACTTTCATTCTTTATCAAAACATGGCCAGTAATAAATATAAATGACAAATAATAATAATAATGATAGTAATAATAATAAAAAGAAACAACTTATTTTGGATGACTGCAGCAAAGCACACCGGGTAAAAGGCTCCTTACTTCAATTTCCGCAGATTCC